ACATTACTCTAGCTGAGGTAACCCAGTTGAAAGCTACAATCTGTACCAGCGCTTACCCACTTACATGTCTCTAAAAAGGCCTAAAGTGGTGCTACATAGGATGCATCGAACACATCTGACAAAATCAACGTCTCCATTATGCGCAATGGCGTTCTTTCTTTCTGCCTCCTGCGGCACGCGCAGGCGTATTAGAGCCATCCCGAAAAATAGGCGTGCGGTACTGCGCATAATGGAGACGGACCGTTCGCTCCTGGGTGAGTCGCGCACGGGTTTTCTCTCCCATAGAGAATGTATTGAGGAGGAATGTGAATATGCTAATGAGTTTGGAAAACAAGGTAGGAAAAATCCGAGAAATATACCTAAATTCACCATAAACCACCAGCGTTTTTGCTGTGCCATTGAAAAAAATATCTGAAACATACGCCCACGCACAATCGTTGCTAATCTTTTAACTGACGTGCGTACGTGTATATATGTCGTGTACGTATATATAATGAAGTCGCGCATAACTCACGTGCGTATGTAATGAAGTCGCGCATGCGCACTTACACGACGTACCACCACGACGGTCGGTCGTATATAAATAAATAGAGAAATCGGCCCGTTGCGACGACTAGGTTGGCTCGCTCCCGCTCGCCAATTATATTCCATGTGTACTACATATGCAATAGTAGAATGCTTGCTTCTTCCCCCACCTATCATGTGGGGCTAATTTGCATCCTCGACCGATAGTCACATGTAATGCAATTCTAACGACTAAGTGGGCTCGCTTGCCAATTGTACCTCAATGATTATGGTCTGTTTTCTCTCCTCTCTTCCACAGAATGCTATCCGAATGGCTATTTATGCAGCTGGAATTCACAGTGCTGCAGTTATTACTGTGACCCAGCATGGGGGTGGGGCGACGGTAGATGCATCTGAGCACCCTGCATGCATGCTCCTGAAACAGAACTGACTATAAAGAACTATGTATAGCTTTGGTACTGTATAATTTCATGTAGATTTCATCTGTGCTGTAAAATTATAAGCAGTTGAGCATTACATGTACCTATACAATAGTCATTATACATATTATTATGTCAATGTGTCACTGAAAGCATGAACGTAATAAGTGCTGGAACTCATGGAAGTGCTAGAAAGCTAATGATACAGTCATGATGTAAGTGGGCAGAGGAGGTATTTTCCGTTGGAACTTCAGAATTTGCTTCTGGAACTGGAGGAGTCTCAGTTATAGATAGAGAGATCCACAATCCCTATTGCTTACAGCGAACTTAGCTATACCTTTGTCGGCAAACATGGACTAAAGCCAAATGTAGGGAATTTACTCCAGGGGAAGGCATTAAAAAGTGCCCATTTGGCTATCCTCTGGAAAAAAATCAATGTCTCTGTATATTGTTGTTGCTTTGGTAACTTCTCCTGTGGTCTTGGTGCTTTTTCGCAATTATGTCAAAAGCACAGGGGACGACATTGCATTCAAAGTGCCCATTTGGCAACTACCTCTGTGTAATGCTATGGAGAAGTGTTCCTTTTTGGCGGCTGGCGGTAGCCTATAAAACCTTCAGCATCTTCTCCCAAACACTCACACGCAAAAATTTGCAACTTTCGTCAACGAAACTTTCAACCAATTCGGAAGACTCACTAAGATGGAGGGGAAAGATGCGTCTGACTCTTTTTACCTTGGCTCTGGCTATTCTGCTGGTGGCCTCCTCTGCTTATGTACAACCTGCTGGGAGGCCCAACCCTCAACCCTACTATCCTCAACATTACATGGCTCGTTTTCAGGCTGAGCGACCCAACTATGGTGGACAGGACATTGCTCAACAGCGTAAGTTACCGGTAGCTAGGCAGCACTTTTGGTGGACATGAATGAGCATACATAGCACCTGATATGTTTTGTCTTCATGGCTTGTTTTCAGGCTGAACGACCCAACTATGGTGGACAAGACATTGTTCAACAGCGTAAGTATAATAGGCGGCATTTGGTGGAACAATGTTGCAAACGAACAAAGCGAAGTAGCTTGCTCCATGACAATGTTGGGCAAACACGAAGTAAATCAAGCCAAATGTAGGGAAGTGACTCCAGGGGAGGGCATTAGTAGTGAGAGTGCCCATTTGGCCATCATCTCTGAGTATCTGTACATTGTCGTTGTTGACTTCTTCAGCGGGGGTGCATTTTTGCAATGTGATTCCTGGATAGAGCATTGTATTCTTAGAGCACTACCCTCTAGAAAATCTTGGAGTGTCCCTCTTAGTAGCTGTAGCTAGCCTATGAAACCTGCAGCACCTTCTCCCAAACTCACATGAAAAATCAATCAACAAAACTGCCTACCAAAAATGGGAGACTACACATTAGCTGTATATACAATGCTGGAAGCACTCTAACTTTGCAACAGAGCATTTTCAGAGAAAACCGTTCGAAATTTCTGACCTTCATTGCCCATTAAGCAAGTCGTATCGTTTGTGAGACGAACAGACATCCGAGAAGTGAGATGTAGAGTAACACACACAGAGACCCAACTACAGTACCCTCGCTGCGCATTAGCGCCGAGGGTAACAAGGGGTCATTACACAGCAAAGATGCACAAAGCTACATGACACCATCCCTATATCTTTGTTCGATAATAAACTTTGCTTTTAACAAAGATATAGGGATGGTGTCATGTAGCTTTGCGTGCATCTTTGCTGTGTAATGACCCCTTGTTTATTCCTTTTTGGTGCTTTAAGCCATCCCTATATCCCCTTCATTTTGAAGAAATGATTTTTCCACTTGTTTCCACTTTTTTTAACAGCTTATGACAACACTGCTTCAGTCACTCTGACGTTCATGGGTATAAGCTACCATAGACCAACTGAAAGCAGTTGCTATTATGTTGCTATATAGTGCCAGAAGCAGGGGCATTCACTTCAACAAGGATGTAATTAGGTTATTGCATATGGTTGTGGTTTCATAGGCAGGCCTTGGCTGGGGGGAGCCTAGCCTAAGTCTAGGCAGAGCTGACTACAGTGCTTTTAGTGTGTACTGAATGAAGGCCGATTTGAGCGCCCTGCTAGGCTCGCGTAACATCGCGCAGACTCTACCAAGTTGTTCCTCGTGCCAATCAAGCACCTTCCAGTAAGGAGAAAGCGGGTCTAAAGAAGAAGAGAATATGATGACACGAAAATCGTGAAATCGCGTAGCTATAATTATATGAGCGAATTCTCGCGTGGACAACTGGTGCGTATGAGGTCCTTGGGAACATGTATATATAGGTATATACGGGCCCGTAGACTATTGCTAGTGTGTTTTGAAGGCCTAGGGAGTCATTCTCACCGAGTTTTTAGTCGTTTTGTACGGTGAGATTTCACCCGTACATATAGAGAGTCTAGCGACTCTCTAATTCTATGTGTAGTATATACTTATCCAATAGTAGAATGCTTGCTTCTTCCCCCACCTATTATGTGGGGCTATTTTGCATCCTGGACGTGTAGTCACATGTAATGCAATTCAAACGATGGAGTTAGCTAATTTTACTTTAGCTACACTGCCTCGCCGACGTACCCTTGCCGACTGCCTATGGAAAGTTGTCACAGATGGGATTAAGTAGGCTCGCTTTCCAATTATACCTCAATGATTGTCGTCTGTTCTCTCTCCTCTCTTCCACAGAATGCCATCGGAATGGTGAGCATTGCAGCGGGGATTCACAGTGCTGCAGTAATTACTCTGCCGATTTGGTGTGGGCCCCCCTACATGCATCTGAGCACCCTGCATGCATGCTCCTGAAACAGAACTGACCCTAAAAACTATGTATAGCTTATTGGTAGTGTATATTTCATGCATCTGTGCTGTAAAAGACTAAGCCGTTTAACATAGCTATACAATAGTCATGATACATAATATAGTTCAATGTATCACTGAAAGCATGAGTGTTTGAGGATATTCATATTCATGTAAGTGCTAGGAAGCTAATGGTTCAGTGGTGATGTGAGGAATAAGTTTACATTGGAACTTCAGAATCTGTTTCTGGAGCTGGAGGAGTGTCAGTTATAGATAGAGAGATCCATTGCACAATCCCAATGCTTATATACAGGTCAAGAAGACATAAACCTCCACACGGATTAGGGACCCGTCAAGTTAAACACCCTGCATGCTCTTCAACTAACTACAGTGAGAATGAAAAGCACTAATAAAGTGCAAACCCTCGGCGGCATGGTACCACGCATGTGGGTTGGGCTAAGTGTGCATTAATCACCATAGCTTAGTCTAGCAATAATTTATTATTTGTCACGATCAGAGTGTGTGACTCTAGGCCAATGAACATGTTTAGAGAAGACCCGCAGACTTGCAGGCCTGAAAAGTGAATAAACAGTGAACATGCATGTCCTAAAGCCTAAGAACATGAAAATCGAAAGAAACTTTCATCATGTCATCAAATCACAAGTGCACAACACAACCATGATCACGCGGAAATCAGATAAATCACACCAAAAAATTTAGTTCCAGGACCGACAATATCACCATCACGAATGATCCTATATAGAGTGACTCATCGAAGATCGGACAACAGGTATAATCGGACAGTCTTCTGGAGTGCGTACATGAGCTTTGTTTTTTTGTTCCAATTGTAAAATGTAGCGTTACATATGGTCATCTCTTGTACCAAGTTTAGAATTATTCCAGGCTTTTATGGCTGAGCTATGCCGTCGAGAAGGTCGACGGCCGACATTACGTAATATCGGACGTTCGCATCTATCGACGGACGCACCGTAACTCTTTGTAATGCAGGGAGAAATCCGTGTTCCAACAACATCAGATGGAAGAAGGACTCAAGGCCTCCAGCTTGCACACAGCGCAAAAAACCTTTCCAGCGGCAACGCCGCGTAAGCCGGGAGAACGCGCAGCTACCTCACCGATTGAAGTTCGGACACGCCTATTGCAGGCGCGAAATTATAGGGCGCCAGCAGCAGGCAGCAGGGAGAGGAAAAGGCTGCTACTGACAGTCATATGCTTGCATTCTAAAAGCGAGAGTAAATAAACAACGGTAATAAGTAAAAAAACACAGCTGAACCCTGAACTAGTGATTGTTTTAGTGGTAAAGACATTCCACACTATAAAAATAGTGGTTGAATAATTATGTGGACGCGTTGAACGTCGCTCTTGCATGAGAACATCTGTCCCAGATCTCTGTTCCTCTGGCTCTGTGCTTGGTTCTGTAATGTACAGCAGAAATATGTTGTAGAAAGTGGATCAGATAATTACATAAACACAGATGTGTGTGTATTGCTCACCTGAAACAGAAGCACTCTCTTGATCAGTAGCTGAAACAGGGGAGGTTAATCCTATCCTTGAATACACCACTATGTGATCCTTCACTCACCCTTCCTGTTACATGATCCGAGAGAGTGCTTTTCGGAACTTGATAAGACTCAGCTGCTCTTCGAATCGACAGTCGCCCTTCTCGAACATCACGGCAGGCTTTACCCATTGAATCTTTGTCCCATGTTTTGTACTCAGTAGGACGCTGGGTCACAGAAGAACATGAGGATAGTAGTGATGACCTTGGGGAGCGGAACACTCTGTTTCGCAGTGGTAGCTGATACATTTTTACCTGCAACAATCACATTGTACTTTTACAACAAACAGTGCGCTCTAAAAAATACATTATAAACATACGCAGAAAACAGTAAAAAATGCTTACAAGACTCCAGAAGGCGGCATTTACAACGGGATTGGCCAGAAACACACCAGCAGGGAGGTCAGGCGGGCACCGGCAACGAACGACAAAACGAGGAGGTTACACGAGGTGGAAACACGGTGCGCATGTGCAGCTGGGCGTGTCCGAACTTCAATCGGCGAAGGAGCTGCGCGCTCCTGCGACTTACGCGGCGTTGCCGCGGGAAAAGTTTTTTGCGCTGTGTGCAAGCTGGAGGCCTTGAGTCCTTCTTCCATCTGATGTTGTTGGAACACGGATTGCTCCCTGCATTACAAAGAGTTACAGTGCGTCCGTGGATAGATGCGAACGTCCGATATTACGTAATGTCGGCCGTCGACCTTCTCGACGGCATAGCTCGGCCATAAAAGCCTGGAAAAATTCTAAACTTGGTACAAGAGATGACCATATGCAACGCTACATTTTACAATTGGAACAAAACAAGAAAGCTCATGTACGCGCTCCAGAAGACTGTCCGATTATACCTGTTGTCCGACCTTCGATGAGTCACTC